AGAGAGAGAGAGAGAGAGAGAGAGAGAGAGAGAGAGATCCTTTAAAATAAATTAGATAGGTGTTACATCAACCCTGGTGCAGTAATAGAAATTTCCCCCCTACTGGAAGCAAGGAGCAGGAAATCTTAGGAAGAAAGGCATACAAGCCACCCCCTACCCCCCCTTTCTGTTCTGCTAGTACATTCCAGGAGGATGTGAGGGAAGGTGCTTTCTCTGCTCCCATTCTTTGCTGTAGGATTGCTCTGCCTTTGTAGTGGTGTTCTGTAATTTTCTCTTACGACGTTGGTTTGCAAAGCTGCTGGCAAAAGCTAAGCTGGGTAATTCAGAACATCAAGTGAGACTTTGATTTTGTGTGCTGCAGTCTCCTTCAACTAGTGCCACAAGAGCTAGTGTGAAGGAAAGTCACTGAGAGGTTAGCACTTACTTGCTACAGCAGTGTGCTCATAGAAAGGACAAGCCATTTGTCATTGAAGCCACACTGCCTAGTAGGCCACCAATTGAAACGTTCACTCCCATTTTTTAAGGAAAACATTCCTTGGGTGTTGGTTTTTAATAAATAAACATGGCTGTGCATTTATTTTAAAGCCTTAAATAAAGCCACTAGCAGGATCAAATTTTTATTTCAGGATCAAATTATATCTTCAAACAAAGCATAACTCTAGTTCTTCCATTTTTATTGATGTAATAGAATTGATTAATTAAAGTTCTATGGCATGATTAAAAATAAAGCTAATCTAGTCGCTTTAGAGCAGAGCTGCATTCCTTCCTCTACCTGGAAAAAAATTCTGCTCGGAAATTGATGATCCTGGAATGTACGTTGGGGGGGGGGTGTGAGAGAGGGGGGAGGTAGAGAGGTATTGTTAGTTTGTAAGTATAGGAGGAACAAAATACTCCTTTTAGACCTTCCAGGAGACCTCTTTCCACGTTGGTCCTCTTTACCAACTATCTCTCATACACATTTATTTTTGCCCAAACCCCAACTTCACTGTGGCATGCTTATTTTTACTTTGAGAAGAGAGCTTAGACAATGGTGTGCCACGTACCAGATCCCTAGCATGTTTGTTTGGGAACCTGAAGAATCAAGAAAAGCCCCACCATCCGTATGCCTAACAAACTTGAAGCAATGTACTGTGACCTATACCTTTCACTTGTGTTTATTAAGCCTTTGGCTTTTTACTTTTGGAACCAGGAAGACAGTGAAAAAGGGAGAAGGGGGAACTCAAATTTAAACTTTTTTTTTTTTTTTTTTTACAAAAATCTCTGGTGCTGGAGCGGCCAGGAAACACCACAGACATGCAGGTATGCTCAGGTGGGGGAAGGAGGAATCCATCTCGGCACAGCGGCCAACCAATCAGGAGAAGGCTGTTGAGTTCTAGATGCTGTCAAGGGCTGTAGGATTGCTGTGCCCATAGTATTAAATCTAACTGGACAGTCATTTCTTTAGCATTGTACATATGTTCATACCAAAAAAATGAGCTGTATACTTCCCACTACCACAACTGTTCTGCCAATACACTAACGTCTCAGGCACGATACTCTTCTCTCACTCACTCGACTATAATATAGGCGCCATACTGGTGTATTTTCCAGGGCTGTGAGAGCAATCCTTCCTGTCCATGCACTGCACCAACATGCTTGTCCAAACACCTCTCATGTGCATCTGCCAATATCCTAGAGGTCAACAGCACTCCAGAGTACATGCACATTCTGCTCTTTAATTTTGATTAGGTCTGCACCTAATTTTATTAGGGCTGAGAGAAAAAAAGCACTGCTGAAAACACTTCTTTGGGAATGTAGGCATCACTTGCTTAGCTGAAGCATTTAACAGTCCTGTTCATAGTAAAGAACATATTTTAAATCTAACAATTATATATAATAAATTACTGACTGGTTTAGAAATAAGTAAACCTCAAGATGCTTTCATTATGGAATTCTCTGGGGAAGTTAAAACACTGCAAATAGCCCAGAAACAGCACTTGAACAAATTGTGTTTTTAACCATTTGCAATGTGTACTTTAGAAAGTATTTCTGTTCCTTGCTGCCTATAAGCATTGGGTTGCATCCAGCCTCAGCCATATTAAGGTATAAGTCCTATAAATCTTGGCAGGGTTACTTTAAGTATGACTAAGGTGGGACCCAATCCAGCTACTACACAATATATTCTGCAAAGTTTCAAAATCCAAGGTCAAGATTGATGTTGTCAGTTGGCAGAGATATATATAAATGAACATGAAGGGAAAAAATGTTGTAATCAGCAGGTCAAAAATTATGCCCTTTTCGTTATCACCTGGAGTATATCTGCAAAAGCTCATGCCTGGGTCAGCTCCTTGGGATCAGTTCAAACAAGTTAGGCTGAGAGATCTTTAGGACCCTTCTTGGAGCAATAACCGCCTGAGTCCAAATGCAGCAATACAGCTTCAGCTATCAGAAGCATTAAATGTATTAAAGATGTTACTGGAAGAGATAAACACCACCCCCACCCCAAGTTCAGCCACTGTCAATCAGGTTGACTTCTGTTTCTGCTCCCCCCCCCAAAAAAAAACAAAAACAAATTAATATTCAGGCTCATCTTACCTGTGGACTAAGAGGACAGGACTGGTGCAGGCAGATGCTCCATCTCCTCTGGACGGCTGTTAACTACTGGGATGGTCTGTGGGAAGGATTTTAATGTCTCCCGTGATGTAACTAAATTGATAGGTTCAACTTTTTGCCAGTAATTTTTGTATGTTAAACGTACAACCAAACAGACCATATGCTCTCACAAATTAATGCTGGGAAATACTACCTGCTTTTCTAGTTGTACAAGGCTAGCGTTTAATTTCCATGCTGGTTTATTAACATGGACCATCTAAACTTAATAATAATAATGATAATGATAATGATAATAATAATAATCTTGGCTGGATCTTACCGGTAAGATCAAGATTCTTTTTTTCCCTTACAACTGCAAATGATCTTGCCTGTTATCACCCTACGGGACTGTTGATCTAATGGATGTCCTGGAAGTGAGAATTCTCTAATTTGCCAAAAGTACAAATACTTTCAACATGGGAAAAACTAGCCTTCGTGACCACAACCTAGCCTTGGCATATTTTACTAGCTGCATTCTGGCACCATACTCCTGATTCAGATTGTTACTGTAGCCTGTAACAAGTGTCAGTGACCAACTGTACATGAAATATTGTTGAAGCACATAGAAATAATAAGCATTTTTAAAAGTTCCATTTATTCAACCAGCCTTTTACAGATTCCATTTTAGTACAAAGTGACATCCTGTTATTGTCATTTGGAACGCAACATAACCCCAACAGGCATGCGGAGACAATGCAGTTTGCTCGTTATGCACATGCTTTAGGATCGTTTATTTTAATGCTTTCAAATAAATATGTTCCATGCAGCACACCGCAATAAATAAGGAGCAGCAATGTTCGTATAGTACATCCATTCATAATGTAAGTCACCATGTGAAACACCACATCTAAAGTCTTTTGCCCAGGCCCATGTTGCAAAGCACACCACATCTGTACCCAATAATATCGTACTTCATATGGATTTAATAGGACCGTGCCAGAAATGCTTGTGAGCCCAGGTTTATCCAGAGGTTTCTAGCTAGTTACTGCAGCTACTAAAGTAGTTAAAAGGCAACAACTGAACCCACTTGGGTTTGATTTGTCCTCTCATTCGTAATGTCTCAAAAAGAAATGCGAAGCATGAAAATGTTATGGATATTTTCAGACTGCTTTAAGCACAGCATGATTAATCTGAAGGAATTAGAACTCTGAGGAATGCCAGCATGAACATTGGCATTAAAAGCCACAACAATACTGACTTGACACTGAACATGGGTGTACTAGCAGAGGGGAGGGGAGAACAACTTTCTTTCTTCTAGGCGGATATTTCCATGGTCCCTTCTTCTTCACTGTCAGCTCTGTTGGCCCGAATTTCCACCAATGTCCGGGCAAATCGAGTCCACTCATCATTGTGTGGTATGGCCAGCTGCAAAAGTTAAAGGACAAACAGCAAGAAGGCCATTTACTGAAACTGTGTTAGTAAGAGCATTTTGTTCCATAGAGCTTTCTCAGCAAATACTGAGTACCCTAATTACAGAAATCAAGAGGGATGTCTTCATTATCCCTTATTTTGCAGTTATGAAGCTGAAGGAATGAAACACCACTGCTCATTTTTGCTAAGCATTATCTAAATGGCATAATCCCATGATACGTGAACAGTACCTTTGAAATAGTTGCAAACTTTTTCTAGGCTTTGTCCATTAGGCCCAATGTAAGTAAATTCAGGCTTTCTACTGTTATCAAGTTACCATGGTCAAAGTGTGCATACTGTAATTGTTTACATCTCTGCAATGATGACATTTCACTTCTCAATATGGACTGTTGGCTGTGGAATCTCTACATTATAAAATACAGGCAGTCTCTGGGTTATGAATGAGTTCTGCTCCTGCGAAAACAGAAATTTGTCTTGGTATGTAAGTAGGATCACATATGGTGAGCCCTCCACATTTGTGGGGGTTAGGGTTGCAGTCTAATCCTTGGTTCCCAGGATGTTGGGTTAAAAGGAAGGGTGCCAGTGCAGTAGGAATCATGACCACCTATCAAGTTCAGAATACTGCTATAGCAGTACCAGAACACAGTATGACAATCTCACATAACAGCTTGAATCAGGATGAATGAAGTGTGTGAAACTTGTACAATCACAGAATCTTTTCAAGATCTTTTACACAGTTCCCATGGTTGGAGTCAGAGTTCTGCTTTTTGCTTAGCTTTAAGTCTGGCTCGTTTATATGAAATAAATTGCAAAGAAGGATATAATAAAAATGCTAAACATCACTGGAGCAGAGCAAGCAAATATGCAACCAATCAGATCCTTTTCCCCCATATTATTTTATTTTTTTACAAAAACAGGACCTAAAGTGTACTGCGTGAGGGCAGTTTTTCATATAGGAAGGATGCTAGAGTAATACAGCAGACCAATCCCCACAGTTCATGCTAGCCAAATCCAGTTTTTGAGAAATAATGCAAAACAAGATTGAAGCAATCACCATACTGCTTTCTCTATATGTTTTCATAGACTCTGATCCTAAAGTCAGCAATATGAATTTAAATTAGTCTTGCACATTTTTACAGCTCTGCAAAGTCTCTAAATCTCTCTCTTTGGATGCTTGTAGAAACTGTTAAAAGTTATTATGCAGGAGACTGAGCTGGAATGAGCTAGTATGACTGCTCATTCTATCTGGTATGTATGTGTGTTCCATGTCCACACATGCACTGCTACTGCTTTAAAGAAATATGTCATTGGTTAGAAGGTTGTGAGTAAAGTTTTCAGTGGTCCTCAGTCCTCACATTCAGTGGTCCTCAGTCCTCACTGCTACAGTCCAACAGTCCATCTGTACACTTTTACAGGAGCAAAATGTCCTTCTCAGTTCAATGGAAGGGGCAAGTTTAGGAATAAATCCTGGTTGCCACCTTTCTACATGAGGTCAATGAAGATGCCATGGGTATCTTCCACTATCTTCCACTATCTCCACTATATAGTGGAGTAACCACATCAGCACAAAATCACTGGACCGAGGTGATCTGGTTTCCAAAGTGGCAGACTCTTAACAGGCTCTCCGATGTCCTCAAAGGACATTATAATAAAACATAGCATGATGTATAATGTACCAGAAGATATCCTTTCTTGGATGCACACCTTAGTGTGGTCATGGTGTTTGAGAGTATCTGAGAAGCCAAAGGCAATGCCACCAGGAGGCCAGAGTCTTTCACTAGTCCAATCTCCTAGCAGGGTCACCCAGGTAGAATGGTCAAAGTGGAGAAAGCAGACTAAGAGGCATCCACATCTTTAGGAGGATTGATGACATTGAGCATCTGTAAAGGGAAGGGGGGCAGCAGATCTTTCATAGATAATGGCAGTGATGCTCAAGCTAACTCTGGTTTGTCCTGTGCAGAAGATGGCAATGGTAAACCAGCTGAATATTTCTTAATCATGAAACCCTGAGATGAAACAATAAAAAATGAAGCAAGAGTTAGAACCAGAAGATGAGACCTTCAGGTTGGAAGGCATTCAACCAGCTACTGGAGAAGAGCAAAGGACAAGTACAAATAGCTATATTTCTACAAATGTGACCAGATCAAAGCTGAAAGGAAACATGGTGGCTGATATGCAGTGGACTGAAAGAAAAGTCCAGTGCGGCCCACAAAACATACAGTTGGAATATAGAACCTGAGAAGTCTGAATTGTGGCAAACTGGAACCCATAAAGCAAGAAGTTAAATGGTTAAACATCACAGTATTTAGTGTGAGTGAACTGAAGAGGGTGCAAGAAATCAAAGAGAAATTCAAACTTATAGTAGGAATGCTGAAAGGTCAACAGGGCTGATTTGTCTGAGCACAGAAGAACAATACAGAAGAGAACATGTCCCACATCTTCAGAGAGGAAGCCTACCTGAAAGTGAAATGAAAGAGTGCAGCAACCATAGGACCATTGCCTTAATTTTCCAAGCAAGCAAAGTGGTGTTCAACAAAGTGATGTTACAACAGGAATATTACCCTTTAAGGTGTGAGATGAACAAGTGGATCCTGCAGTGAATCGAGCCAGAACTTGGCCTGAAATTAAAGAATGACAAAACTGAAACTATCATATTTTGGGCACATCATGAGAAGGCAAGACTCACTGGAGAAGACAGAAGAAGAAGAGGAAGACATATCAATGCAATGGAACAATCCATCATGAAGATTATGGCCTTGAGTTTAAGGAATACAAAATCCATGATGTTCAACTGGGTTCTGAAAAGGAAGAGATGCTTGAGATCATACTTCAAATCTATGTTGGCTACTGGAGCACATCAAGGAATTTCAGAAGTTCAGTCTATGTTTTATGGGCTACAGGAAAGCTTTTGAGTATGTGGATCATGAGAAGTTATGGATGGTCAAGAAAAAAATGGATGGGCCTCAACACTTGATTGTGTAACATCATGGACAAGATGCTTCTGTTAAGACAGAATATGGAAAAAAGAATAGCAAAGGAATCACACAAGGCATGCTAAAGCAAAAGTGTTAGATAAGGTTGTATTTTATCTCGCTATCTGTTCAATATGTAACTGAAACTATCTGTACACTGAAACTATCATAAGGAAACCTGGATTAGGCTTAAGGGAAGGTGTGAAAATTGTTAGATAATTTAAGATAAGCAGATGATGGCCTATTACTAGCAGAACACAGCAGTGAATTGAAATAACCCCTGATGAAAGTGAAAGTGACAGTGCAAAAGCAGGCCTGCAACTGAACATGAAGAAACGAAAGCATTAAACAACTTTAATGTCATCAGTGAAAGAAATGAAATTGTGAAAGATTTTTCCCAAACACAGAATGCAGCCAAAAAATTAGAAGATGACTGAGACTTGGAAGGACAGCAAGGAAGGAGCTAGAAAAGCTCATCATGTTTAAGGATGTTTCATTGGAGACTAAGGCCAAGAACATCTACACTATTGTATTTCTGATCACCGTGCATGGAAAGATGATCAGTGAAGAAAGCTGACAGGAAGATAACTGATGCATTGAAAACATGGTGCTGGAGGATAGCTTTGTGAATACCTGGACTGGCAAAAACATGAGCAAGTGAGTCCAGAACAAATCAAGCCAGAACTTGGCCTGAAATTAAACAATGACAAAACTGAAGCTCTCATACTTTGGGTACATCATGAGAAGGCAAGTTTCACTGGAGAAGAAGACCAACAATGGAATGGATCCATTCCAACATGAAAACCACAGCCTTGTGAGTTTACAAGAGCCAAGCAGGGCTTTCAAGAACAGAGTATCTTGGAGGACATTCCTTCCTAGACTTGCAGTAAGTCAGAGACAATTTGACAGCACTTAGCAGCAACAAATCAGGAGATACATGGTCCAGAAGTATAGCAACCCTAACCAAGCTAAAGCCGTTTTCTTCAAGAGGAAAGGGAAGCCACAGCCCAGAGAAAAATCTAACAAGGTACTCTAACCTTGTAATCAGTTCTGTCCCTTGCAAAGAGGCTTGCCCTATTGGCCTCCCCCTCCAAAAAACAGTGGTCTTATGGTTGCTTTTTGACTGTCATATAATCATTGTTTTAGTCTACTGAGGTCCCTTTTCTTTAAGCACAATGAGCTATATGAACTTAATGTTCACTAGCGGCCTGTGAATTAATCTGCACGGAGTCATGCCTCCTGCCTATCTTTCCCATTCAGTTCTTTGGGGTTTCAAGGTAGAGGCTTTGCCAAGCCCTACCTTCAGGCATCAGGGACTGAACTGGGGACCTCCTGAGTCCCATATGAGCAATGGGACCATTTCCCAAATGTGCCTGCTTTCACAGAATTTAGGATTAGTTAGGGTTTCAAACAACAATCTTTGATGACCGTAGCATTAAGGGGGCAATCTTATGTTCCCTGAATGGAGCTAAGATTCTTCAGACTATAGCCATGGGACCAAAATAAGGCATTCCAGTGGTATACCAAGGGACACAAGGATCCACCCCAATGGGCCCCAAACTATGCCAGTCCTGGAGTTAATGTAGTTAGTTTCCTCTCATTGGTTTCAACAGAAGATAAAATTTTTGATTTTTTTTTTAGGCTCACAAATAAATTATCTACCATCCTGGAACCCAGCGAGATGCAAAGTTGTCTTCTCCTGGATTTTTAGCCCTTGCTGAATCTTATGGATGTTCTGTCCAAGCAGAAACTATTATAAATTAGAAAACCTATAGTTTGTTATCCCGTAAGCATTTAAAAAATTTCTATCCAGGGTTCTCCTCAAGTTAACACTATTAGTTCAGGAAATGGATTCCGGGGGGGGGGGGTGCCATTTCCTAGCCTTCAATCTCCCCCAACTCTGTTTGTTATTTTACAAAAATTAACATAGGAGTGGAACCATATTGATTTTCCATTTCAGGTACTTTTTTTTTAAGGTGGTACTGCTTCTACACCTATTTCGCAGCCTTTGTTCTCTCTTTT